ATTTGACGTATTTGACGTATTTGACATATTTGAAGTATTAATGAAGAATTTTACCATTTTAATTGTTTTGAAGTAAAATGTTTGTAACAACCCCTTTTCAAGTAAAGATTATAAAATGTAAAGGAAGATTTATTTTTACTTAATAAATTTCAAAGCATGAAGAAATTATGAATATTATTTTATTAATTACCTCCAAGAAAATATTTTATTAACTTTATATCAATCTAAATCAAGTGTAAGGTTGCTAGCAAGAAATAATTTAGTAACCCTACAACGTCATGTTAATACGTTTACTTCCTTAAATTAAGAAGGTCACTATCTCCAATTAACAGGCTCGTAGCAAAAATTAAAAGTTTCACAATTCAAATCGTTTCTACTTTTGGAACCGTAAAATCAGAACACTGCATTTACAGCCGACTTCATTTAACGTTCTGTTATCTACATTCTTCAAAAATGTAAACATTGTGAAACTTTGGAATCCCATGGGGCGAAACTCAAAGAAAACATGTTAAAAGGAATCGGTAGGCCTATATGTGTTAACTAGGTATAGGGCTACCTCTTGAATTTATAATATAGATAATAAATCGAAAAATAAAGAAAATATAAGTTGATTGATTATTGGCTCTTATAAAAGTACAAACAATCAAGGAACATGATTTGATTAAGTAACCACACATCACTGAGTCTATATCTTCATTCTTTCTTGTAAAATTCGCTTTGATTGTGGCCATATGAAATATGGAAGTAAGATTTCACTGTACAACGAGCTCAGTAAGCTCGAGAACCAACAATAAGTTGGAAATAACCGGCCAAACCTTCAACCATCCAGTGGCTCGCTAGTCGCTAAGGTTGTACCCCAGGTCGGTCGGTAGCCCATCAATGGAACCCGTTAGGGTTAGGCTCGCCGCTGCCTCTCGCCGCAAGAGAGACAAGAATTTTGCCTTGTTCCACCCGCCCTTTGATTGTTTGAGGCGGGAAAACTATTTGTGTGCTACGGCCCGCGCAACACAGGATATTGTTTTCGTATTAGTTGGCCTTTTTCCAAGATGTCTGTTAGCTTTCATGGACTCCCTTGAAGAATAATTCAAAACTACAAAGAACATTTCTAATCCCACATTATATTAGATATTTATATCACTTTGGTGTTTGAAAAAATTGTTTTGGACGATAAATTCAGTAGCTGCTTGAAATTATCCAAGATGGCCGCTTGCCTCAAGGACTCAACAATACTTGTGCGAATATAAAGCAATAAATTCCCCCCCCCCCCTTGCGCTTGCGAATTAGCTTGGTACATATTTGTATTCACAGTTGGAAGGACCGATCGCCATTAAGACGACCAAAGATTACATGGGCATTTAGGTATTTAACCTGTAGAATATTAATTGTTAAGTAATCTGGAAGACAACAAATTAAAATGAAGCGCGAAAGATTGGTTATGAGAGTGCTCAATGCCTGAAGCATAATCTGTTTGGTTGAGGTGCGGATTTTCATGCTTGTAGAACAAATAAATATTACAAAGTAGAAGGGCCGGGGTGAAATTGACTGAAGTGATGGGATACCCGTGTGGATTTTCATTGACTGGATTCCAGTGGTACCTATGCGGTAAGGCTAGGATTATACTAGGACGCTGGCGTCCGGGATGCTGGCGTCCGAGAGGCTAGCGTCCCACCTCGAGCCGAAAAATGACGTGATTTGTGTTGGGATGCTAGCCTCTCTGACTGCCATTTTATTTCAATGTTTAGTCACTTTTTGTTTATATCTATTTAAATAACATTAAGTTTAACGAGTACCAAGGTTTGATGCTTAAAGGGGGCTAATAAAGTGTGTTTTTAGTAAAATACTGTATTATTAGCATAGTATAAAACAAATCGTCCAAGTTTAATCAAAATATATCCATACACAAGCAAATTCCAACACATAACCACATTTTCTATAAGAATAACATGACAATTTTTAATATACTCTTTTTTTGAAATTTCTCCATAACTAATAACAGTACAAAAACACTTAAATATACTAAATCATTTGTTTTTAAGCTCATTAAAATTGTCTAGAGAGAAATTGGGAATTTTTCAGTTTTATGGGTCAAAAATGACAAGCCCCTTTTTTAGCACATAAAACCCCGTTCCCAAGGTCTGTTCATGCTGGTTCGCGAACTCATTCAAGTTTATCCCACCCCTCACCTTAAAACAGAATTTCTTCAAAATAGGACAAAAGTTACTCCAGTTATCGCATTTACAGACATATAATATTTAAATCTATACGAACGGGTGGTGTTAATGGCCTCTGGGGACATCAAAATGAAAAAGTAAATCGGTCCCGGGCCTAAGTCTTACCATGTCACCTACGGTAATAGCTTCGAGCGTCCGGTGGCTCTTTTTAGCATCCGACGCTAGCATCCATAGTATAATCGCCCCCATTTGATTTAATGCCCCGTTAGCGTCCCGGACGCTGGCCTCTCGGACGCCAGCGTCCTAGTATAATCCTAGCCTAAAATATATAGTGACTGGCTTAGCAGCACAAATTTTACGTGACTGGCTTTCCCATGCAAATGCGGAGGTGACTGCATTAGCTTAGCAGTTTTTACGTAATTATATTTTTGTATTTTTAAGAAAAAAAGAGATATATACGTTCAGAAATGTCTAGGCTTAATATATTAACCAATATATAATATATATATACAGTTCAACCTCGGTATAACGAATCTGAAGGGACCGAACTGAATATTCGTTATATCAAGGATTTCGTTAAAACGAGGTTCGTTATATTGAGGTTAGGTTTAAAGGAATTTCGCTAAGTCGAGGTTTGGAACCAGCATCAGTCAATATAGGTCGTGATTTGATCTCATTAAAACACAATTTAAGTAGCATAGTCTACAATACTTTACAGTACACTGTTTACATTGTAATGTAGAACCTCGATTATCTGGTGTACTAAAGGGTAGGAATCTTTAATATTGCGCAATCATGACATTTCTAGTCATTGACCTTGGTACAGGTTACAAACTGTAAAAGTTTAAAATCACAGCTTTCTCTAACCCACCTAAAACCTATCCAAACACTGTATTGTATAGCAATAAACCACGTAAAGAACAAAACAAAACTGTACCGAGTAAGCTACTGATCGTGATAGGCCGGTAGCTAGTGGTGCTACAGTACTGCTTTAAATCACAACAGAGGAATGTCAATACTGTAATAATCATCAACTATGGAATTGGTGTTGCCTTAGTTTAAACAAATCGTATTGAAAATAATAAAATTATTAGATGATAAGTCGTTATAAAAGTGTATAATCATAGCCAACTTAAAGATAATAAAAACACTCGTAAAAGGAATGTTAAGATAACGATGTTTCTATTCTTTCTCTTTGCTTTGTTCTTCTATTTTTTTCTTTCTTAGGTTTTTCTTCATCCAAAAATTGTACAATTCACCATATTTACTTATCACCCAATCACAGCTTACTACACATTACGCCGTCAATAGTCCTCAGTGAATGAAATCAGTTCTCAGATGCGAACATAGCGCGCATGCAGCTACGACAGCAGACAGCGATGAGTTAAAATGGAGCAGACAAATGTTAGCGCGAGCGATGACGTCGCCTTTCCATTTAATTTGATAAAGAAACTGATTTTTCAAAAATAATAATGGGGGTGGGGGGTTCGTTGTATCGAGGGAGGGACGCAGAAAATTCGTTAAGTAGAGGTTAAATTCGCTATGTAGAGGTTCTGACAATGATAAATTCGTTATATTTAGGTGTCTTATTTTAGCCGGGATCATGAAAAATTCGTTAAATCAAGGTCGTTGATATAGTTTGTTCGTTATGTAGAGGTAAGACATACATTGTGTCTTATGGAGAGTTCTAGGGGATTCAAAAAAATTCGTTATATCAAGGAATTTGTTATATCGAGGTTCGTTATATCAAGGTTAGACTGTATATCATAGTCTTGAAATATATTGGGGGTGCAACTGACTGCCTTCCAGTGTATATTTTGTCACAACACTATCATTCCATTTACAAAATTGTATTTATATCCAATATGGCGGATCCAAGATGTCGGCCAAAAACATATTCCCTATCGAAATGAAGTACTAACCACCCAATTAATATCGGGGCTGGTCCCAAGTTGATTTCTCGAAAAATGTGCATAAAAAATGCATGTGGTAACTATTTAATTTTTTCAATGTTGGGAAAAGCCGCCATTTTAAATTGTGATTTTAGGGGTTTTCCCGTGGACCGATTTTCATTAACTTTTAGTATGTCACTCTGCACACCCTCAACACTATAAAATGAAACCATAAAACTTCTTCTTACAATTTTTTAAGGTCATATCATATATTATTTTACTCTGACTTCATGCATATTATGGGAATACAACTCAACTGTTACAAAATCCCTTCACACTTCATTACATACTACCTGCTTTATAATTTTTCTTAAAAATTGATAATCCTTTTGGATTAAAAATGATTCAGTACCAGTACATCAGAATTGGTCAAACCTCGCTAATCCTAGGTTCGAAGCAAAGGCAGGTGTTCTGAAATACTAATATTAGTGTCCAGCTGACTTGTAAACAGAAAGACCTGGGAATTATGCAGAAGTTTTGATAACCAAGAATTTAATGTGAATTTTGTATGGAACCAAAAAATTCGCAACATGGGCCAGTATCCAATGGCCAATTGTTCAACCATAATTAACAATATATCATTGGTTATTTCCTAAAGCCGCCTTGTACACTAGAAAAGAACACAGTTGCGGTAGATGATCACGGGTCTGGCCGCAACCACAGTAGATAATAGCAGACATTTCTGTGACTGCTAAAACATATATAATCAGCAGGATCATTGTTTTAATTTTGTAATAAATTTTACAACATTTAAGGTTAACATAAACAATTTGGTAATCGTAAAAGGGGTTGGTTTAGGCCTACAATTAGTTTTGATTAGTTTGACTCTGGAATATATTTATAATTTTAATTACAATAGATGTTGTTTTGTTCTCAGCATGACTGATGGAGCCCAGCAAGCCTTGCGCCGTACAATGGAGATATACAGCCACACCACAAGATTCGCCCTTGCCTGCAATAACAGTGAGAAAATCATAGAGCCTATCCAGGTCTGTTGGATTTGAACAATCTCTTGACTATTCAAATTTTTTTATTTAGCCAAGAAATCCTGAAAAAGTCCCTCATTAAGTAGTAGTTAGGGTTGACTAAAAATTGACATATTTTTTGTAGTGATGGGCGGATCCAAGAAAATGTCGGATCTTGAAAAATTCAGATCCGGATCTTCGGATCCAGATACACACGGTCATAAGGGCGGGTAAAAAAAAAAACGTAATTAACAGAATGCCAATTTAAATCATACTGTTTAAAATTAAATTGGTAATGTTCAAAGGTTAATACATGTTATATATAGAGTTATCTCCAGTTGAGCCCATAATCCCTCATTTTTTGGGGACACTAACACTTTTCAAAATCATAAAATACTGTTAATACTGTTGAAACTTTGTCCTAAGTTTGCATGACCACCAAAAATGTATCTGGGTGGGTATATATTACTATAGTTCGATCTTGAGAATGCTATATCGTGGTTTTTGCATGCAGCATCCAATTTATATATGCCTGGATCACCTCTTGTTAATCTCTTGCTTAAATTCGTTCCAGGTCCACAGTACTGATAGCCGGATATGTGAAGTTCTACAGGTAAAATATCCTGTGTCTGTGTACAAGAAGACTATACTGTGTTCTAACTTAGAAAAATATTAGATGGGGGAGTCTTGACATTTTTATTCACCCTGTATGGACACAGATAATCTTCTTGTATACAGACACAGGGTATTTTACCTGTAGAGTTTCACATACCCGGCTATCAGTACTGTAGACCTGGAAACAAATTTAAGGAAGAGATAAACAAGGGGCGATCCAGGCATACAAGACCGATTTTTTCCCTATTTTTTTACTAACACAAAGCTGTATGTATCCATGTACAAGACCGATTAACCGAATAACACGGCGGTAAAAATTATTACCGGTGGAAGTGCATATTATCATCATCATTAGCATCATTACTGAGGACCTGGAACAAAATTCGGCGGTAAAATTATTACCGGTGGAAGTGCATATGCACAAATATCTTACTGTGGACCTGGAACAAAATAGAAAAAACAGCTATATACAGTACTGTGTATTTGCTCGACTCTCGATAGTCCAGATTTTTCGTAATCCGGACCGGACGTCCGCCACATTAGTCCGGATGAGCGTACATGGACACAGACAGCTTTGTGTTAGTAAAAAAATTGGGAAAAAATCGGATCCTTCGAAACCGGATCCAGCCCAAGATCCAGAATTTTTTGGATCCGATGGGGTGCCGGTTCTAGCTTGGATCCGGCGGATCCGGTAGTCCGATATCCGGATCTGACCATCACTAATTTTTAGGCAACTTTAGTGTATTAATTGATTTTAAAGATCTTGAATAGAGACACTTTTAAAACTCTTTAAAAGATAAGTAGGCTATAGAAGTAAATCATCCGCATCTTGGAACTCTGGTGTTAAGTGCTTTTAGTGAATTACCTGGGAATATCAGTGAATTTCCCGGGTAGGGAATAAGCAATTGCCATAGGTCTCATAGTAAGAGTTAGACCCAAGACCTCTTCACTCTTTGATAGTTTTGATGTCCTCATTTATATATAGGCCTATAGTGGATGTTGTTATTGGCCTCTGGGGACATCAAAAGGAAAAAGTAAAATGGTCCTGAATTAATTTCTATTCAATACTCAATAAAAAAGGACAAAAAGGGTACTCTAGTTTTTATGTTTATTTATGTATTAATTGTTATTAAATATCTACATGTAATATGTTTGTATTTATCCGATTTTAATGTAATTTCTTACAAACATCCTATAAACATAAACCTACATAAACCCTGGTTTTTTTGGAGGGTTAAACTTTTATGGGGTTTAGCTAAGGAATATTTTTACTTTTATTACTTAACCCCTTTTTCCAATGAATACATTTTCCATTAGTTTGAAAAACAAGTCAATTTTTCTACAAAATAATCCCAAAAGACATATAAACACTACTTCTGACTACATTATAGTTACACATTACTGTTAGGTACTAATTATCGTTTTATAATAGGTTAGTTTATCCTTTGGTGATATTTTATATTGAAAAATGTGTTATTATTTATCAAATAAAAGTGTAAAAGGCTAATAATTTCATCACCGGTGCTCGTAGGTCCCACGTGTATTTATTGTCATGATATGATTTCAACAGATTTCTAACAAAATATTAATGCTTCTAGTCCCGATGCTGTATTTTGAGATACAACAAACTAAGTGATGCCCAACTACTAGGAAAAATCAATGAAATATGTGAAAAAGAACAGGTAAGTTCTTAGGTCTCACTCTATTATTCGTAAAGGCCAGTGCTTGATTTGTATGAAAATAGGTGCCAGAACTGTAACCTGTTTAATGTGATTAGTACCTATTTATTCCAATATTTTTATCTTTTCGAAAGAGAGGGTACCGGAATAGCGTTTTGCCACATTCTGTCGCATTCCGCCGCAAATCAAGCACTGGTAAAGGCTGCTAGGTTTCCGTAAATTAGCTAAAGATAAGCCAATTTGGTCCACCTTTTTAAAGGTCACCAATCATTTCCACTCAGTATTTTAAGCTTTAGTGATTCATTCCTGAATGAATTGATAGTATTCTAAACTGTAATATGATCTGTACTATTTAAAGCTATTATTAGTTTTATGTCTCTAGTTGAAATTAATAAATGATCTCAAAAAAAAAAAAAAAAAAAAATTCTGGGATTAGGAATGGCCGTTACTTGAGGACTATTAAAAATAATTGAACAATTTGGACTTTCAATTGAAGGGAAAAGAACAAAGTTTTTTCCCCATATAATAATACGTTTCATTTAATAAAATTCAAATTGTCATCAATCTTCTGTACGCTTAGGGTCATCGACAAGTTTAATCTGACGTCTTTGAAGGCATCTGAATTTTGTAGGCATCAAGTCTCCATATTTTACGAATAGCATTGTGGAGTGTTGATTTAGGTATATTTAACTGAAGACTTTGTCGGGCATCAATTTTTTCAGGCTTCTGATGAAGAATTGTCAGATTTCTTTGACTTTGTCATCACTTGTTTTTGTCCGGACAGGTTCTTTTAAAAACACTTCCTGTGTCACAAAACTGGTTAATCCTGCAACAAATTGCTTTATAATCGTGTGAATTTTACCCTCCATACGTAAATCTAAACCGACGCCTCTTACTAAAAAACTCACGATTGAAACTAAGTGAACAACAGAACATACTGCACCTTGTGTTACACCGTAAACATCGTACTGGTGTCAGGCATCAGGATCTGTTTTGCACATGCCAAATTCAACGTCTCTTACCTCGTTACATGGGAAACAAAACATAGTTATTTCAACTCTAATTTGACATTCAAATCATTTAGTTATTTTCCCAAGTACTGACCGTTTAAAATCCCGGCATTATTTTTCGGATACCTTGTAGTAGTAGGACCATCATAAAGATATATAATTTAGCCTCTCTATTGATGTGTGAAACCAAACCACAAATCTCAAAACTATCAAAACTTTGGGCAAGTTTTGGTTTTGCAGGGTGTCTAGTAGTCGGGAAAATCGGGAAAGTCGGGAATTAGTATTGAATTTCAAAATGGTCTTGAAAAGTCGGGATTTAGTCTTAAATTTGATTACAAAGTCGGGAATTTTCATGATTTTGGCGCGATCGTCGTCTTGCGTTTACGTAACTGCGAAAGCCAATGATGATGATGTCTACACAGCCTCGGGAAATGTTCACGATTTTGCCGCGATAGTGGACGACGACGATGACGTTTCCGAAACCACGAGAGACGACGAAGACGTTTCTGTGACAGCGGGAGACGACGATGACGTTACCGTGACCGCGGGAGACGACGATGATATCTGCTCGGCCGCGGGAAATGTTCATGATTTTGTCGCGATCGTGGACGACGACGATGACGTTTCCGTGACCGCGGGAGACGACGATGATGTCTACACGGCCGCGGGAAATGTTCATAATTTTGCCGTGATCGCGGACGACGACGATAACGTTTCCGAAACCACGAGAGACGACGATGACGTTTCTTTGACAGCGGGAGACGACGATGACGTTTTTGTGACCGCGGGAGACGACGATGATATCTGCTCGGCCGCGGGAAATGTTCATGATTTTGTCGCGATCGTGGACGACGACGATGACGTTTCTGTGACCGCAGGAGATGACGATGACGTTTCCGTGACCGTGGGAGACGACGATGGTATCTGCTGGGCCGGGGGAAATGTTCATGATTTTGTCGCGATCGCGGACGACGACGATGTCGTTTCCGTGACCGCGGGAGATGACGATGACGTTTCCGTGACCACGGGAGACGACGATGATGTCTACACGGCCGCGGGAAATGTTCATGATTTTGCCGTGATCGCGGACGACGACGATAACGTTTCCGAAACCACGAGAGACGACGATGACGTTTCTTTGACAGTGGGAGACGACGATGACGTTTCCGTGACCGCGGGAGACGACGATGATATCTGCTCGGCCGCGGAAAATGTTCATGATTTTGTTGCGATCGTGGACGACGACGATGACGTTTCCGTGACCGCGGGAGATGACGATGACGTTTCCGTGACCGTGGGAGACGACGATGATGTCCACACGGCCGCGGGAAATGTTCATGATTTTGCCGTGATCGCGGACGACGACGATAACGTTTCCGTGACCGCGGGAGATGACGGTGATGTCTAAACAGCCGCGGAAATGTTCATGATTTTGCCGCGATCGCGGACGACGACGACGACGTTTCCATGACTGCGGGAGATGACGATGACGTTTCCGTGACCGCGGGAGATGACGATGACGTTTCCGTGACCGCGGGAGATGACGATGACGTTTCCATGACCGCGGGAGACGACGATGAAGTTTCCGTGACCGCGTGAGACGACGATGGTATCTGCTCGGCAGGGGGAAATGTTCATGATTTTGTCGCGATTGCGGACGACGACGATGTCGTTTCTGTAACCGCTGCAGTCAATGATGATGTCTAAACGTACGGTACGCGGAATATTTCATGATAAAAAAAACCAAATTTTATAGTTAGAATTTGTTATTGCTGCATTATTCTTTACTTGAAAACACCACATTATCATAATACTACTTTATGACATAGACAGGGGTTGGTGTAGTATTAGTGTCGGTATCAAGAATCGCGAATCGATACATTTTTGTATCAACACCCACTAATTGTTGAAAAAACTAGTCTTGAAAAATCTAGAATTAGTCTTGAAAAGTCTGGAATTAGTCTTAAATTTTATAATGGAAATAAACTAGACACCCTTAAAATAAAGTTTCCTCTAATTTATAAATAGGCTTATAAGTATTTATCTAAGTCATTTCTTAGTTTTTGTATTTATTTGAAATTCCATGAAATTGTCTTAGTTAACTCATTAGTTTATAATTTTTTTTTATTACTACCTAGCCTACATCTTGGTCTACAAATACTCTTTGTAAGGTAAGTTTTTCCCCCCAAGTGAGTAAAAACTAACTTCCTATATAATGACATTTTCTCACTAATTATATATCTTCAAAATTTGTTTAACTATGAAAAAGTCACCAAGTCTAGCTGAAAACATAATCATAAATGAGGATATTTTTGAAATACAGAATAACTAATCAAACAATATTTTTAACACTTTTATTTCTCAACTTTTTTCCCTTGAAAATGTCAACAGTTTTTCACTTATTTTTAATAAAGATTATCACTTATAATTGTTTTAAAGAAGTCCAGATGTGTGAACTTGAAGAGCAGACAAGAGACATAAGTCACTGCCACAAAAACTCTTCTCTACTGTGAATGAATGAACTGTTTATTGTGTGAAGCCCCACCCACCGTCTAACGGGACATGGGGGAGGAAAAGAGAAAGTTTGGCAGAATTTGTCCTTGTTCTAAAGCCTGGTTCACATGCCCTCCCTCACCCTCAGCCTCAGTCGCTTGCAGATTTCCATTACACAAGAGTGTTAATTATTTTGAAATACTGTAAATGTTTGAATTTGACTATGATGAGATCTAATGAAGTTTCCTCTAATTTATAAATAGGCTTAACTTTTAAAGTATTAATCTAAGTCATTTGTCAGTTTTTGTATTTCTTTTTAAAAGCAATTGCAGTTATACATTAAAAAAATTACAAACATCTTGGCCTACAAATACATTTTGTAAGGAGAGTCTTTTTCTCTAGTGAGTAAAAACGATCGTGATCAAGGAATGAACTGTGCTAAAACAGCACATTGTCAATGTTTACAAAAGTATTTTGACTGAAACCCTGGTATTTTTTTAAAGACATTGCATAATAGCCTATGTCGACGTCTGTGGAGAAAAGTATGACAATAGATAGGTTTTACTTTTAGCCTACAATAAAGATTATGTTTTGGGACTAAAATCTCCAAAAGACCAAAAGAGTGCTTTTAACAAACATTTCATAGTTTTATTTAGTAACAAAAGTGTTTGACTATGTTCCCGATTATACCAAGAACAAGGTTCGGCAGAGTGGATTCACTGTGAACCGGCCTGCCTGGCCCTTATGCACGTCACTATAACCTCCGTGTAGGGGTGTCAACAATGGATCGGAACAATCGAAGTTTTGAACCTGTCTGTAACCTAGTTTTTTATACTTAAATACTCATTATTTATAAACAAACACGTCCTACATATCGGATCTCGAATCACGATATTTATCGGTACCCTTTCCACCCACCATAAAACATTAAACGATGTCAAAGCAATCGTCATTTGCTCTATTGAAACACGAAAGTCGATTGGCTGACATGGTAGTGCACTGACGCCTCCTGACCAATGAGAACTGTTGTTACATACTTTTATTGTCAACATTCACCAATCGTTTTATCATTACAAAATCGACACGGACTAAGGCTTATAATATTTTTCAATAAATACATTATGTTATAGTAGCACTTAAAACTTCACTAAACTCTTTAATCAGGTAGATAGTACAGATCAAAATATGGATCTACTTTTTGGCGCAATATAAAGCAAGCCTAACCATACGACGATGTTAAAGTTTAATGGTTGAATATAATTTTTCTAATGATGCGTATAATACAGGGATTATTAAACTGAAGATTTCGACGTGTTTAGATTATTTATTTTGTACTAAAAATTAAAATAATACATCTAAATGTCTGACTTATTGATACAGACATTGTTTAGTGTAATTAATTTCGTGTTGGCAGGACATTCGCGCGCCGGTTGTCTCTTGAGTTGAGTCTGACATCTTGAAATGTAGATTCGTAGATTGTGTTGTGCAATGCTGAAGCTA